AAATTACCTGAATCTCATGATTTTCCTACAAAAAGCATCGTTGGAAATGTGATTTATCACGTATTATTTTACAACTAAAAGGGCACTTCTGCCCCCCCTGCCCCCCTTCGCAAAAGGCAAGGGGGGCAGCCGCCCCCCCCTGCCCCCCCAGTTCCGGCGTCCCTGGCCACAGCAGTATCTAGGATGTGATTTTGAAGCCAGGTTTCTGTTATGCAAACAACATAATAATTTGCATTTTGAATAACATAGCAAATTTCGTCGATCTTTGGAGCTAGAGACATTACAGTACGTTTGAAAGAAACAGCGATGGGACAAACTGTTTGTCCTGTCCCTCAGATCTTGTAGAAACACATGTATTAGGTGAAATATATGTACACACAGTATTCAGGGTTGTGGCGGCGATGAGTAACTTCAAATTGGATTTGACGGTTGAACGGTCTTCTTAATTCAACTTGTGATATCTCATGGCGTTGGATTGCTTCTGATACACAACATGTGATATCAGGGCAATGGGAATCCTGTCTTTAAATGTAAAGAAACTAGAAAGGCGACAAGAGGGACGGAAACAATACGTATGGTTTTCCGTCTCTCTTGTCGCCTTTCTAGTTTCTTTCCATTTTTAGACAGGATTCCCATTGCCCTGATATCACATGTTGTGTATCAGTTCACGTGTCAATGCTGCAGCGCATTGTATGTTGGCCAAACACGCCGACACATTCACCCACGTATCTCAGAGCATATGGAAGTCTCGCCTTTGACTGGAAAAGAACGCTCTATCTCAACCATGTCTAGTATACTCGCTCACAAACACATGCACAAACACCCAGTCTCCGTAATATTAAACCATTATTTTGTAAATATATATAGCATACCCTGTAAATTCATTTAGATTGCTCTGAAGATGTTGTATTGTAAACAACGAAACGTTAGCTAATAATTTTTTTTAACTTTTATTATGTTTGGATTTAAAGTTATTTGCTGGGCTCTGCTCTTTATCTTTAAACTAAGATTTCCGCCTGTTGTATCAATTGCCACATTCGGTAAGCTTTTGATTAACCCATTATCTGCACTCTCCCATTGAAGAGTAAAATTATTTGATGTTTGACACAGTAAAACCAGTGGCTTGCCGGCAATGGATGAGACAACGAGAACTCGCTGTGGACCCCTGGCATTTTAGGCTCTTAAATTAATGAAATGTGAAAAAACTGAAATATATACATGGCGATCTAGAGTTATTTTATTTTAAAGCAAAATACGTCAAGAGCAATTTTATTTAGCATGAACAAGGAAGATATAATTCGAGAATATGCAGATAGATCATAAATTCCTTTATTTATCAAGTCATAGATGCCGTGCGGCCAGTAACACAAATAGGCATATACAATATTAGAAAGAGGCCGTTACACTTAATGGGTTTAGCATATTTACATGATATTACTGGTTGAGAAAGTTAAAAAAAACTGCAATTCCAATTTTTTAACTATTCAAGCGAGTGAGATGCCAACAAAATCTTGATGTTCGTAGTAATCGAATTTCTGTAGTTGATATTTCTCTCAACAGAAAGATCTTTTCCTTTATATAAATTCGCTAAGCATGTTGCCAAATGCCTATAATCATTTAAGTAAAATATAATCAAAATTTAAACCCTATAAGACATGTCATGTATATTAAGGCAATTTAATACAATATCCCTTTATTAAACAAATTGTATTGATCACACCTTACGCATCGTTGGATTCGTCGTTTTGCGTTCAAAATGATGCCAGATAATTTCCTCAAATTGTAGTTCCTCGGCTGAACAATTGAACCCATACATTGTATGATTGTAACATTTGGTTGCTTCGAGCGAGCGATTCAAAATTTTCACGTCGTGAGAAACATTGGGATATATACTCCTTTCAATTGACCAAGTAATTTTTATATACCTTGAATATTTCGACGCATTATAAAACATTTTTAAAGTTTTTACCCACAAGCTTCACTTCTCGCCTGAAGATAGCAAACTGAATATGTAATTAGGTTCAAAAGCTTATTTAAGGGGTGGGGTACAATGACACGTCCATTCAGGTAACATGACACGTCCACTTTATTCGATTTATTGGAGGCATCTCTCCAGAATTTTTTTATTTCAACACCCATTCGCAGGCTAAAACTCATAGAGATGCCTGCGGAGGAGACTAGTGTAGATGCGCTTTGTTTGTATGATATACGTGGTTTTCCAATTGTTATATTGCCATTTGTGTATTATATTATTTTGTTTCGCGATGGTCAGGGTCTTTAGGTTTTGATACCAGGTCTCTCGAAGTGTTGTTTGAATATAGAATGTTTTGGTTTAGACGTGCGGTAAAGTTTTTTTATTGAGCGTATACAATAAAGAAACGCTCTGTTGGTTGTTGTCATCAGAGGTTAGAAATTCTTGCAGAACATCTGTGGTTTATTTGTAGCATTTGATACAGAACTGTAAGTCATCAAATTTCAGCCTCCATATTCATAAAATGTTGAATCCACGGTAGTGAATTATTGTGGTTTAAAAACTATTTAGAAAATAGAAAGCAATACGTTAAAATAGGGCAAACTGAATCCAAGATGTTAATTAGAGCATGTGGCTCCCACAGTGCTCTACCCTACGACCATTGTTATTTTTGCTATAGAGGGCCTAAATTCGCATTTTTCGCGGCTACTCCCGATTAGATCTAAAATTATATATAAGTTTTTGTTCGAAATTTCATTTACCAAAAAACCCATCCCCGTATTATAACAGGATATCGACCTCACACAATAGGTAACATGAAAGCTTTTTAGACTTACAGTAATTTACATAATAACTCTTTTACTTCAGGTTCAGATTGTAGCTCCGATTGTGATTCAAACTCCTGTGCAACTGGCTATAATGGGGATATTGATTCTGATGAAAAGAGTTTGGAAGGTAAGCATTAAAATTTCGTATTAAAGTGGCTTCTTACACTTGTTCTCTAGTTTCAGTGCACCTGTAGCACCTTGTATAAAAGAAACAGAAAAATAACATTTATCTCTCGTATTCTCCCAACATCCCTGTCGCGCATCATCACACCATAAAGCGCGCGACTTGTTTTCTATTTCCTAAATTACTTGGTTCTCACAAACTATTGCCAAAATTCCTCACATTTTTCGTTTTTGTTGACAAAAATAGTTATTTTGATTAAGTTAGTCGATTGGCTTGGGTAATGTTAGTGTTGCAATGGCAACATGGGACGGTTTTATTTAATGGCCATTTCACGCGTCAACACAGCATGTATAGTTATTATTGTGAACGTTTTTTTCAAAATTTTTCTTGTGGTATTGTATTTTTTTTATCGAAAGTTTTATTGGAAGATTTCCACACTACAGTTTTTCTTTAAAACTCAAATATATAAAATTCTCCAACAAAATAACATTTTAGCGCTAAACAGTTTTTGTACGAATAGTTAATAAATCTGTAAATTCGTTGCTTTATTTAAATTTGGACAGAAGTCAAATTAATTTCTTTATGGGAGGATTCAATGTTTTATTTTATTAGGTGACGAACCACCAGCACTTGAAAATGTCGAAGACAATTATCTGCATACTGAAAACGGTAATCTACATTCCGAAAACAGCAATCTGCATGGCGAAAACAGTGATCTACATACCGAAAATGGTGAAATGCATGCCAAAAGTTGTGTTTCCAAAAACAGTGCTATCACTTTTACCGATCACTGTTTTTACCGAAAACATACCGAAAACGGCGATCTACATACTGAAAATGGTGAAAGGCACACTGAAAATGATCATCTGCCTACGAAAACCAGTGATCTATATCCCGGAAACGGTGATCTACATACCGAAAACGGTGAACTACATAACGGATATGGTGATCTTAACGGAAAAGGTGATCTGCATAGCGGAATCAGTGCTCTGCATATCGTAAATGGTTATCTACATACAGAAAATGGTGTTTTATGTACGCAAAACAGTGATTATCATATCGACAATGATCTACATACTGAAAATGGTGATCTACACACTAAAAACAGTGACTTGTCTACTAAAAATGGTCATCTGCCTACGAAAACCAGTGATCTACATAACGGAAACGGTGATCTACGTAACGGAAACGGTGATCTACATAAAGGAAACGGTGATCTACGTAACGAAGACAGTGATCTGCGCAATGAAAATTATTATCTGTCTACGAAAACTGGTGATCTACATATTGGAAACGCTGATGAGCATACTGGAAACGACGATCTGCATACTGGAAAAGGAAACGTTCCGAATAATATTCTCAATACTGAAAATGGTGATCTACACACTGAAAACAGTGATATGTGTACTGAAAATGGTCATCTGCCTACGAAAACCAGTGATCTGCATACTGGAAATGGCGATTTTCGACATAATTTACATACTGAAAACGGTGATCTAAGCACTGAAAACATTGATCTGTGTACTAAAAATGGTGACCTGACTACGAACACCTGTTATCTAAGTACCGGAGACAGTAATCTGTCTACTGAAAATTGGCATTGGCCTGCGAACACCAGTGATCTACGTCCCGGAAACGGTGATCTACATATTGGAAACGGTCAGTACACAAACCGTGTCATTTTCAAAAATAGCATAGTTACTGAAAATGCTGTTCTACGCAATCAAAACATTGATCTTTGTACTATAAATGGTCACCTAACCACGAACACCTGTCATCTACGTACCGGAGACAGTGACATAGATGCTGGAAACGGCGATCTACATACCGTAGACGGTATACGCTTCTTGCTTATTCGAGAAGCCGTTCAAACTTACCCACCACAATATAAATCTTTAAAAGATAGATTAAAGAGAGATAAAACTTTTCGAGATTTTCGGAAACGGCTTCCCAAAAAGACAAGAATAGCAGAAAAAGATGAAAAGTTTCGCAAGCATATAAACAATGTTTATGATGAAAAGTTGTTACACAGTGATGACACGATTGCAACAGAAGAACATCTGAAAATACGTGGAAAGCAATGCTTCTGTTTAACATTACGTAATTGTGCTGGCGTCGCTTTTGGAGCTGCTTTTGCAGCTGCTTTTGGATCAGCAGCGGGCCTTATTGGGACAGCGGTCGGAGGTATAGTTGGTGGATGGTTCTCCGCGGCTGGAATGAATTATCTCTCTGATTGGATGCCACAAAAGTTGTTTGAGATACCAAACGAAGAAGCTCTGGATTGTCTTATCGATACCGGGGAGTGAATATGACTGCTTCGAACGCAGAGCTGAACACCGCATTCCGCCAATTGTGTCCTCAACACCATCCAGAAAGGTGGGGGGGGGAGAACGAAATGACTTTTTTAACCTTCATTGTAAAATGTGAATAATCAGACAAGCCAGAGGAAAATTTTAATTCAATCATGACTAAAGGCCGTTTTCCACTAGGCGAAATTTTCGAAATTTCTATTGCTCAAATTCAAAAGATTTCTGATTGGTTCCATCCAGTGAACTCTCTCTCTCCCTCTCTCTCTCTCTCTCTCTCCCTCTCTCCCTCTCTCCCTCTCTCCCTC